CTCATTCTTCTGACCAACAACAATCAGGTGCTTATACAGGCACTCATTTTCAGGTAAAAAACCCACCATACTTCTGCAAGTACTAACAAACAAAACCCACAAATAATTTAATTCAACTACTTGGTACCTCTTACATGTTGTAATGGGAAGTATTAAAATACCTATTACTTTAATTGACTGTGTATGATTTATGTCTGGATGGAGCACATGCTAGTCCAGAGCACAGAACATCAAGAGGTTGTCCAGAGAGTGGTTTCTTCACTGCATTGCTATTGATAGCTCAGGACACGTCTTTTCAGTTCTAAGTAACTGTGTATTGCTGAATCTGGTGTATTTCCCTCTTCCCATATTGCAAACACAGCGAGATTTTATGGAAGTAACTAAACAATACTGAGAACGAAATTGTTCATGCTGCTTCTCCTTTGTTAAAAACACCTTACAAACTTAACAGGAGAAACTTACAAGGAGAAATAAAAAGCCATTAGACGTACAAAAGAATGCATATTTTATGCATATTTAACATATTTGATGACACATTCGGGTAAGGGAAGTTGCAAATATTTTCATTGAAAATACAGGTTGGACTTCATTCCCTCTCACTCTCTGAACGTGCTGCTAAGTTCCCTGATTTCTCTAAAGGACTGATGGTTTTTCTCAGTGAATACTTCAAGGAGTATTTACTGCCAAGGCCGGAGCAGCGTTAACAGGCTGTGAGGCACCGCGCCCAAGGGATGGCACAAAGGGCCCCCGACTCACCTATGAGCTCCCCGGTCATGAAGAGGAGGTAGAGGATGGCAGCGAGCGCCAGCCGCTTCTTCACCTTCCTCTGCTTGCAGCGCTCCCGCCGGCTGCTGCAGCCGCTGCAGGGGTCCGGCCGGCCGGCCCGGGCGCTGCGCAGGGCGATGTCCCGCTCCAGCAGGGACTCGTCGTCGGACGGCAGCCCCGGCGCTGCCCCGTTCACCGGCGTGTCCGGGGCCGCCTCCGAGCCGTCGTCCGCCACCACCACGCGCAGCTTGTTAAACCTGGGGAAGTCCTCGTCCCCCACCTCGTCCGAGAAGTCAAAGGCACTGGAGTCGTTCAGGAACAGCGGGTCCTCGCCCCTCCGCAGCAGGGACTTGATGCTCGCCCAGAGCCCGGCCCCGGCCATCGCGGCGGTGCCCGGAGGGGGCCTCGCCGTGCGCGGCCGACCCGCCGCGGGCGGCTCCGTTGGCGCAGCTGTGCCCTGGCAGGCGGCGCCCGACCGCTCCTCGTCCCGTCAGGGCATGTCCCCTACATCGCCCCGCGGGGCCCTGCGCAGGCCGCCCGGAACGGCGCGGGGCTCCGCCACCCCCGGCGCTCACACCGGCACCCCCGGCCCGCACCGCCGCCCCCGCGCCGGGCACGGCGGGCGCTGTCACCGCCGGGCCGCGCAGCGCCCAGCCCCGGTCACGGCGCGGCCGGGCGGGCGGCGCCGGGCGCAGGGCCGCCTCCTCCCCGCCGGCGCAGGGGGAGCGCCGCCGCCGTGCGCGTCACATCCCCCCGCGGGCGGGCACCGCGACCCCGCACCCCGACCCCGCACCGCGATCCCGGGGCCGCCCCGCGGGACCCGCGTGTCCTGCGCGCCGGCGGACCCCGCCGGTACCGCGCCTGCGCCACCCGCAGCGCGGCGGCCGCGGGTTCGAGTCCCGCTGAGCGCGGGGATCGGGGCGCGGCGGGGCCCGCCCGTCCCTCGCGGTACCTGGCGGGCTGTTCCCGTCCCTGGCCGCGTGTGTGCCCAGTGGGTAAATGCCGTGCGAGGTACAGGCTGACACCTGCCACAGCCCTGCAATCCAGGTGTGATCTGTGACAGACAAGAGGCTGTTTGCAGTTAACACTGGAAGCCCCGACTGCATGGTCGTGCTCTGGCTTGAGATTTTAAAAGGCAGAAGTTTGCATTTTGTCGCCTTTCTCTTTCTCTCTCTGTCAAAGGCGCTGCTCTTCACACCGTTTCAGTAGCTCCATTTAGTAACATGCACCCTTCTGGACATTCCTTACATGTATTCCTTTAAAAATGTCCTTAAGGATGGAGGGAGAAGCCAACCTCAGAAAGCCTGCTGTTCCGTAATTCCTTTCATAACTGTATTCTAATTTAAGAGTAATTAGATTTTTGCCTTTATTAGTTTTTCTGGTTATTTAGGTTTATTCCCCCTTCTCACTGGTCTGAGTGCTAGAATTTTCTTCTCCACATATTCAGCACCAGTTTGTACACATGGCCAAATTTTGTTACTGCATTCAGTCAGTTCCCTAAGTCACAAACATTTCTGCAAAAACACTTCTATCTCAGAGAAAGCACATATCCTGGGTTTTTACTTGGTTCAAGAAAGTTACTAAGTGAAGACTGGAGACCTGTAGAGAAGTAGAAGATTTTGGAGAAAGGCACTCCCTTTCTGGTCAAGGGCTGATAGCAGATTCTGGCAGGTGTTGGGGTACCAGTGCAGGACGTGGAGTGACCCCTTCCTGGAACAGGCCCTGCAGGAGGGGAGTCCTGTGTGGTACACTGGCCTTGGGTGGAGGTTGCTTATTGTTGTTCTTGTTCTCCGTACTGATATCCAAAAATAATGATGCTTTGTCTGAGCTCCCTTGCCACTTTACAATGTGGCTGTTTTTCTGAGCACATAACCTCAAGTTATTCTTTCTCAGGTGGCTGAAGAGGTGCCATCACCCACCTTGTAATTCCCCCAAGAGGGCTACTAGCACAATTTTTATGGGCCAGGCAATGAGGGTCTGGGTCCCTGAGATCTAGCAGAATTAAAAAATACATTTTGCAAGGGTTCCAGATGTATTTGTATGTGTAACTGAGACTGCTTCCGTGACTGCAACTTGCTTAGACATCCATGTGACAACTGAGGGGGCAGCCAACAGTGTGGGAAGCAGCACGAGCAGCCAAGGCTGGGAACCTGTTAAGCCAGCCTAGGAAAGTGCTCCCAGCTGTGTTCCAGTTCATGCATTTTTAAAGTTTCTGTTCTCTCTGGGTGATTTAACTCACTCTGTGTTTCAGCCGTTTCACCACTTGTACCAGCACAAGTGAGCGAGGTCACACAGGTATGAGCAGCCAAGTTCCAGGAGCCACCAAAACAACTGCTCTCAAGACTCCTAAAATGTTGGGCTTTGCCTCTTCTACAGGAACAGAAACTTCCAGCACTGAGGAAGGGTGTTAAGCTGAGGGGACTTAACACTCCAACACCCTAAACCACTACCCCAAGGTTCGCCAGCTTGCCTTTTACTGAATAACTTAGACCATATTTTTTTCTTTGCCAAGTCAGTAACCAGGTCAGTCATTGGTAAGATGAACCTCTGTGGAACAGAGCCTTTTGTAACAGCCAGTTACGCTCCCTTTCTTTATTGTGACAGCCAACGCTGTACTTTCTCACTAGTCTCGTTTACTTAAGAAGGACAGAGAGTCTTTAAGAGGTTACGTATTTAATACTTCCTTCTCATACTGCTATCCCTGAAGTCATGCAGCTCTTCCTATTTTCTATACAATTCAAGCTAACTTACTCCATTTTCACTCAGATTTCTAGGGTGGGACAGGGTTATGATATAGGTACCTGCTTAAATCAGTTACAATAAAATCCAAAATGTGTATGTGACAGTATTGCATTAAAGGTTTCTAAACGCAGTTGCTACAACATGAATTAAAAGGAAACACAATTATTTGGCATTACAGTGCTATATACACAGCACTTGGAAAATAGTTATTGTTAAACAGAGAACATTTTTGCAGAGAAAAAGGAACAAGAAGGGCTTTCTGTCAGTCTCTTTTTTTGGAGCATTCCGGTTGATCAATAGTTAAATTTTAATTTGTCTAGAAAACCAGATACCAGTTTTCTATTCCAATCCTTAGTCTATTTCTGCAAGACGTGGGAAGGCCTGGAACAGGCAAAGCAGGAGCACAAATCTGAAACTCCCACATATCAAGTGAGACTATTTCAGAGTCATTATCTCACTTGTTCTTACTAGAAATTCCATCTGGAAGCTTAGAAGTCTTTCCCAGTAAAACTTCCAATAAAAGTTTTTTTTTCCCCCACCAAAAGAAACTTGAAGTAAAATTGCTAACTAGTTGTAATTCAGAATTTAAGTTAATTGACAGGTTCCTGTTGTTGCCTTTTTTTTTTAGAGTAAAAGCAGAAAAAGAAAGAAAAATGGGTTAAGTTTTTTAATCTGATGACAGAATACTGAAATAATTGTGAGAGTTAATTAGAATATGCATATGAAGAAAATGTCAGTTTCAGCTGCTAAAAATGTCAGTTTTAAGGCTGACAGATCACCTCAAAAGTTCATTTTTTGCCTTGGTCTGTTTCTGAAGAGCATCACAGGGACTGCCTGAATTTAATTTAATCTTGAAGTTTTTTGGGTTTATGAAAACACTGCATTCCAAAAACTTCCTGAGTGGTTCCTTCATTAATTTCTTTCTATAGTTGCACCTGCATTTCCTGAAAAGACATTTAAAGGTAAAAGAGAAAAAAAAAATATATAAATCCTACCAATAGCTTATAAAAGTGGTTTTTCATTAAATATATATATATATATATATATATATACCTGCAAGTTATTATTGCTCTAACGACTGTTGGGGGAGATGCAGAGACAGATACATACACAGAAGCAGGTTATCTATGTCCTAAGAAACAAAAGCTACAGGTAGTGAATAGTCCGCACGGTTTGTGGAGAATCACGTACAGATTTATCAAACACGGGAGGATGGGTGTCCCTGAGAAAGGCCCCCCTGCACTGATTTCAGCCGTTTTCCTCGCGGCAGCAGAGCTGGCCGAGCTGAGCCCCGGTGCTCCCGCGGGGCAGCCGCTCCGCCCCGCCCGGGCCGGGCCGGGCCCCACCGCGGCTCCCGCTGTCAGCCCCGTCACTGCCAGCCCTGTCACCGTCACCTCACACACGTCATTCTCGTCACTCCACGTCATCCTCGTCACCCACACATCATTTCCGCGCCCGGCGCGGTCCCGTCCCCGGTGCTCAGGGCTCCTCTCTATGGTGCGGCGGGACGCGGGGCGGGGGGTGCCGGTCCGCCCCGCTCGGTGAGGGCACCGGACCCGCCTCCCTCCGCCGCGGCCCCTGCCCTGCCCTGCCCTGCCCAGGGGCGGCCGGAGCGGCGGCGATGAGCGGCACGGAGCGGCCGGAGGAGGCGGCGGCGGCCGCGGGCGGGCCCGGGCGCTCGCTGGGTACGTGAGGGGCGGCCGGGCCGGGCCGGGCCGGGCGGGTGCGGGGGGGCCGAGAAGGGGCTGGGGCCGCCCTCGGTCCTGGGGCCGCGCTGGCTCGGGGCGAAGGGTGTGCTGCTGCCGTCGTTGTCCCCCAGGCCGTGGGGCCTGCGGGTTGAAGGGTTTTGTCTTCCAAGAGCTCTGCACGAAATAAACAATAATGGCGCGTTAATACCGAACTTAGAGTAGCTCTTAACCGGCTCCTGCAAACTCCTGGAGTTCAGCACGTGGTGTTTCAAGGAACTCTTCGTGTGTTTTGAGTGACAGGCGAAGACCTTTCAAAGGCCTGGTTTGTTCTCTGACTTTAATAGCAAAAGGGGGGGCGTGTTAATGTTTAGTTATTCTTGATGCATAGCTAGAACAACTGATGTTGCCTCTTTTTTTTCCTCAGTAGCTTGGACCATTCGGGGTTTTTTTTGGTAAGATGTCTTTGGAATACTCTTCATTTCCTCTCTTTCTATTCTGCTGGTTTGCAGACAAAAGAGTTCACCAGGAAGCTCATGATAAAGGACTGGGAACTAGGAAGGGATAAAGAAGGGGAGGAAAAAAGCAGCACAATTTAGTTGATAAAATGCAGAAAATTGTAACTTCACTGTTGAAATGCTTTTCATTTTTAAACAAGAAAATATAGTTGCTGTAGGTGTCACATTCAACCTTGTTCTTTGCTTTAGGCCCCAGTGATGCATCTCCAGATGAAGGAGTAGTAGAAGATCTGCCTTTAATAGATGAGAAAGCTGTGGAGCAGCTGACTGAAGGATTGATTTCCCATTATCTGCCTGATCTTCAGCGATCAAAATCAGCCCTGCAGGAACTTACGTAAGCAGATTTTTAAAACCACAGACGTGCACACTTTGTTTGCCACTTTTTTCGATTTAATGTGCCAGCTCCTCTTAACTGCAGTAGAGTTTATCACAGCATTTCTGGGCCCTGACTGGAGCAGCACGAACACTTAAGTGATCCGCAGGAGTACTGGTGGTGTATAAGCTGCCATTACCCTGTGAGCACTTTGACTGAAGAATGTGTAACACTAGAACACTGAAATCCCCTGAGCTGGTATAGCAGAAGATGTGGAGATTTCTTTAACACTTGTTCACTTCTGTAGTGAAAAGTCTGCTGAAAGGTGGATTTATTTTGCTTGCAGAGATGCAGTTTGTCTTCAGAGCAGCTTGTAGTGCAGTGAATTGTTTGTTGTCCAGTCTCTAATCTCCGTAGCAAAAGGTACACTTGAAAAATATAAGTAAGGAGCTAAATAGATGAGAATTCTTTGTACATTGATGTCTCAGTGATAACTGAGAGTACTTGATTTCAAATGCAGATTGGGTCTGCCATGGGTACAGAGATACAGGAAAGGACTTCACACAGATCCATCTCAGGTTCTACAGGGTACATTGCTTGGGGTTTCACTACACATGGTGTGGTTATGCTGCTGCCGAGGACAGCCTGTGTCTGGAGACACTTGAGCTGATTTGTGTGGGATGGAGGATCCTTAATAAGCACCAAGGATCCACACAAGTTCTATACAGAAATAACTTGGTCTTGCAGCATAATGCAGAGGCACCCAAGTGGAAAGACAAGAGCTAATTGTTTGTCCTTTCATTCAACCACTGCAGCCTGGAGAGTGCCTCTTGAGGGGTTTTGGGTATTCATCCATGCTGTATGATGCCAGATGAATTCGTGTACTCAGCAGGGATTTTTCTAAAACCATTTACTTGTGTCTTTATTGAAATGACCTAGCAATGCATAAGAAGAATTTGATGCTGAGAAGTGTGTACTTATACTGTTATGATCAAAAGTCCTATTTATTTAAAGGGCTGGTTGAAAAGCAGGTGTGCTGCTTTACTTTGGGTTTATGCATCTTCTTTTGTTTTAGACAGAACCAGGTGGTATTACTAGAAACACTAGAACAAGAAATTTCAAAATTCAAAGAGTGTAACTCCATTATTGAAATCAATGCTTTGGTAAGTACCAATAAATGCCTTTTTAAATCCCTATGAGTGTAGATTTTTCTTGCTGAAGCATTAGTAGCAACCTGTGTATTTTCCCTGTTCTTAATGGCCTCCAGGAAGAAAACCAATAAGTTTAGATATCTGGGACAAATTGTTGCTGGAGAGAGTGGGAACCAGCATATTTCCCTAAAATAAGAAGGGTACTGGGAAGAGAGGGCAGGTTCAATCAGCTTGCAGCAGTAAGACTAGTTGTTCAAAGCCAGTACAAACCTTTTTCTAGTAGGATTGAGCTCTGTGCACCTCCCAAAACTAGCAGGAAGGGTGCATGAAACACTGATGTATGGTGCATGAAGTGGTAATATTTTTGTTCTGTATAATGAATTTTAATTTGGTAGGTTACTGGGTATCTCTTGAGGTATGGTATATTGATACATGTAATGTGTTAATTTATATGTTTGGTGCATTAGCAAACTGTTCTGGTATTCACTATGCTTTTGATTGCCATTTTGCTGTGTAGCTTTATAAAACAACTGTTCCAACTTGACAGGCACTGTTTTAACAGATGTGGTTTTTAAGTTTTCAGAAGCTAAACACTATCACAACAAGTTAGTGAATATTAGAAATGAAATGATGATGATCCATGAGAAGACATCAAAGTTAAAAGTGAGTGGGATAAATATTTTTACTTTCCAATATAGGTATTTTCTTATGTATTATTGGCTTCCAGCTTTTCTTTTGGATGCATGCTGCTTAAAATAGAATTGTACCTGAAAGGATGTTTTCAGTAGCACCAAGCCATGTGTGTTTTTAAACTTTCACTTACTCCTAATGGTGCTTAAGCAACTTATACATCTGAACTACTAGTAAATCTCAGTGTTGTCATCATGTTTAATTGGTATAAGAATCATGCTTTGTTCTGTCACTTAATCCACTCCATTCCAACCAGTTCTCTGTTGTTTCTAGTTTCAAGTAGATTGTCATAAATGTTAAAATTTCTCCTTCTATTTAATGTACCATTTACAGTAGTTTAAGTTCACTGACTTTGTGCTATACAGTCAGGTTACATTCTGGCAAGATTAGTCCTTCAGTGTGTCAAAGGAGGAGGATTTTCCTCCAAGAGAATTTTCTCTTGGCAATAAATTGCATGGTAATCAGCTTGTCTGGTGTACTCAAAGGGTGACTTTTACTGAGACTGAAGGGAATCCAGTTTGTATTTTCCCAGTGCAGATCAGATTTGCCATTTCTGAACAGTAGGCTGCAAGTGGGAGGAACGAAGCAAAAATGAACAGTTCATGCAACATTCAGTCATAAAGAGGGTGGATTGGAGAAGGGGAGGGATTTTGTTGGTAGCTCCAACGTAAGTATATCTATAAAACTTGCAATTATTTTCTTGTCCTTTCTGTTCAGAAAAGAGCACTTAAGCTGCAACAAAAGAGGCAGAAGGAGGAATTAGAACGAGAGCAGCAACGTGAGAAGGAACTTGAAAGAGAGAAACAGTTAACAGCAAAACCTGCAAAGAGGACATGAAGGAGCATGCAACAACTTGTCTGAATTAATGATTTCTGCATTCTCTGGATTTAAGGCAGACTTTGCTTAAACTGGGCTATAGCTGTTTCTGGCAACCTATGGTAATACCCTATGGTATTATAAATTCCAGAACGGTAATAGTGTTGGTAACATTCACATTTCTTCATTTCAGCCATTCAAGTTGCCTTCTTTTGTAATGCTATGCAGTTTGATATTATTATAATGTAAGTTAATTTTTTTTTTATATATGTATATAGGAGAACTTAGGCATCATAATTTTAAAGATCTATCAATTTTTTTTTCATCTGTCCTTCTGGTGTTTAGAATTCTGAGAGATATCTGGTGACTGGCACAATAAAACATAACCAGAACTAAACAATTTCCTCTTCATGTGAAATTCAGTTACCCGTAGAAAACGATTGCATTTAATGGCTTTTTCCTTAACAAATGAATCATTTGCACTTTGGGACAATGTAAGAGAATTTTTGTTATGCTGTCCTTACCTAAATTAATGATTATTAGCATGTACTGATGATAAATTTGAATGGAGGTTGATATCCATTTCTCTGAATGTAATTCCTATCTTGCAGCACTTGGTGTGAACTCCCATTCCAATGAATGTACATGTTGCCTAGACTGGTAAAAGAGCTTTAAATTATTTGTTCCTACAGTCTAACAAACTAGCTATTTTATATGTGTTATTTTAATGTAAGTGATGTGTTTTGAAGTAAGATAAAAGGTAAGCTATATAAAGTTTTCCATAAAATACATATGGGAAGGTATCAGAGGGGCACAGGCAATTTTACTTTTTCTTCTGTTTTAGATGACTTACACTGTTACACTGTACACCTGCCTGGACTCTTCTATATTGTAATTTTCTTGTAATTACCTGTTCTTAATATTTGTCATCTTTTTCTAACAAGTACCCATCCAATATGCAGGGTAAACTGGGACAATATTTTGGGGCAAGGAGAAAAAACTACTTGAAGCCTACTTAAAGTCTGAAGAGGCACTGAAATGCTGTTACTGAAGCAGTAATAGATTAAAACTTTCCACAGGTATTTTTCCCTTAAGTTGACTTGTGTCTGTTACTTGCCAGTGGATTGTTGGCCCGTGCTGTGGTTTGTATGTATTTCTAAGAGAAATGTAAAGAATTTCCACAGTCCATTTTTTGGAGCAGAATGTACATAAGTAAATGTTGTTTAAATATTTTATTTTGTAATGTAATTTGAAAATCAGATTCTGGGAATTTAAACAGTTCTCATTAAAGTATAACATAAAACTAGATGCCTCAGTATCCGAATTGGGATTGAATTCCTTTGGTGGTTCTTGATTTGTGTTCCCTCATCTAGAATCCAGTTTACTGTGTCAAGTTGTAGTCTCTCTCTCTCTGTGAAGAACTGTGGGGTTTTTTTCTTGTTTTGTTTCAAAACTCATGGCTACTTTTACGGAAACCAGATAATTCTAAGCATAGAAAGTGATGCTTTTGCAATTGCACACTTCAGCATTTCTTTGGAATAATTTGTGATCAGAGGAAGAAAAGCTGACAGTGCTTGCCTGAGGAATCACATACATAAAAATGTAATTGATTAACTTTTTCTATAAAAGTATAGTAAAATCTGAGTTTTTATGAGTAAGGAACAAATTTTACTAAATGACCTTTCTGTAAGAGAGGGGAAGACATGAATAAAAATATAGAGAGGGGAAATTGGTTCAGTTTATGTAACTTTTATTTGTGAGCTCTTAAATTATTTCAGTCAAAACTACAATTCATTATCTGTAGAATGTTGTTCTCCCAAATACTCTTGCATCTTAATGCATAAAAGTAAATGCTGCAGTGGATGAGTTTAACAATACTGGCATCTGAACTTGTGTTCCTGCATTAACATGCACAGCTACAATGAGCAATTCTATTGCTGTATACATTTAGTCTTGCTTGATTTTTATAAAAAATTACTTACCAAGTAGATAAATCCGGTAGTATTAGACATTTCTTACTGACTTTTAATCCTAGCCACATGAGAAGGTGTTGTTAGCTGCATTGTTTTAGAAGCAGTTAAAATGACAGCATTAAAACAAGTTTGGGGTTTTTTGTGCTATGTACAAATGTACTCACTTGTTTTTAAACTATCAAGTCATAGCAGCAGAAGTAAGACACTTAACTGGGCAGTAACTATTTGAATTTTTATTTTGTAAGGTTCTACAAGTTTAGGAGTTAACCACGGCTCACTGGGGAATCTTGGTTTCCCATGCTTTTATCTTAGCTGTTGTTAACCCAGACGCTTCATTTGGGTGTCCCTACCCCTATAACTGAACAGCTTTGAGTGAGACAATTTTTAATTCAGTGAAATCTGGCTTTGTCACTAATAGGGATATTCATAAGATGAATACTTGTTCCCTTTTGGAAAATGGCTACAGAATATTTTAGGTGGTTTTACTCTGTGTGCTGTGAC